CTGTTAGACACAGACCCTAAAGTTGATGGTGTGAAAGATATTGTTAAAAGTTGGTCAAGTCAGACGGGTCTTGAAAGTCCTTCATCATGGGTTGAATTATGTCGTAAGGTCATGTCAAAAACTGGATCTGTGGCAAGCGCAGGTGCACCTATTGAGCCACCAACGTTAGATATTACTGGCGATGGTGGTGACGAAGATGAAGGATTTAGTATTGAACAATCTTCCGGTGTTAATGTTGCTGCACAGAGACGTCGGAGTCTTGAGAAAAAACCCCACATCTCATCTGACACCGTGCAAATACCACCCAGATGGCGAACACAACTTTTTGCACTTCAATGCCTTCACCACGTTGTTGAAATTATCCATGCTAGTGGGGATAAAGATCATTTTGATCTTGCAATTGCTAAAAAGGGCAAACAAGCTGGTAAAGATTATCTAGTTTTAAAAGTAGCAGAGCTTATTAAAATGGCTTTTACGGCTTCAACAGCTGTAGTGGGTGAAATGAGATTAGAAGGTTTAACATTGTTAAGAGATTTGATTGAGGTTTGATTAATTTTCTAATTTTGTTTATTTTATATTACGTATATTATATTCTTATTCAAAATGCTGTTATTAGAAATTTTCAGCAACTCCTGATCCAGATTTTGAGGAAGCGGCTCTTTTGGAGCAGTATCAAGTTTGTATTCTCTTGCAAGATATTTTAACAATTCTATTTTACTTACTAAATGAGTGCAATAACATAGGCACAAATAGGCGCGGCTCTTACGCCTGCTTTTACGGCTGATTCATCTCCAGAAATCCTTTCAGCAGCTGTCAAAGTATGTGCCGTATTTGTTGGAAGTGGTATTGTGAAAGAGTTACATCGAATGGGACGTATATTGAAACTACTAACCACTGCCTTAGAAAATTGTAAAGGTATTGTCAAATATTTAAGCATTACATCACAAATGTACATTTTCTTTGTTTGATTGGATTTTTTATTTACGTATAAAACCATACAAAGATAATTCAAGTGTGACCAAAGTCGGTGATTTTAAAGATTTAAGTCCTCATGCTGCAATAATGGTTAAACTTTCAGTATTGAATGCTTGGGCAGAACTTCAAGTCGCCAGCACTAAACAAACTTATCTGGTTCAAGTCGTTCAACCGTATCCTTAAATGTGTTTGATAAATTGGTCTCACGAAGTCGTTTTCGATAATATTCTTCAGAATATTTATCTTAACTTTAATGTAATACAGAAATTTACCCTTACTTTGTCCTTTATGGATTTCAACATTGAAAGAATATGCCAGAGTGCAGATCGAACCTGATATTACTGATGCCCAAGCCAATATTATTGGCACTGGGCCAATGCAGAGTACCTCTCAATTTGATTCGATGTATAGTGGGTTAACTAGGGAAGTTATTCTTCCGGTAATTTAAATCTTTATTTCATTTCTTTGATGATTATTTGGCCAAACTTAAAGTTGGACATTTATGAGCAGTGTTAATCTATATTTTCTTGACAGTACTACAATATGTCATGGCTAACTATTTTGGGAGCCGTCGCGTGTTTGGTTCAAAAGGAAAATCCATATATTATTTTTGCGCTTAACGGAGAAGAAATTACAACAAATGACAATACAAATGATATCAACAAATATGATGATGAATTTGATGATTTTGGTGATGGCAATAACGAGTTTTCTGACGATTTTACTGCATTTTCTCACGAGAAAGAACCAGAATTTAAAAAAGAGCCTGCAAAATATTTCTTTATACTCTTCGGACTTTGTGTTGAAGCATTATCAAATACATTTGGTGGAAGTAGTAGAAGCAGCGGTGTTGGAAATAAAGTTGAAAATAATGTTGAAAATCAAAAGATTGTTCGTACCTGCATTGATGCGCTTAAAGCCTTTTTGCGACCAGCAGTTGCAGGAAACACATTTCTTGATGAAGATATTTTTATCGAGTTAATTAATTTATTTGATCGATTGGTACTTACTGAAGGATTTAAAGTACAATATGACATCATACAAATTATTGGAAATATTATTAAAGATTTTGGAGCAGCGTATATCTGTAAAGATATACCGAAAAATAGGTTTCTCCATTTGTTTTTATCTTTTTTTCTTGAGGTTTAATACATTGACAGCTGATTTATTTTCTTGATTATAAATACTGACAGCATGAAAATAAATGGACATAGCGAAGATGAAGAGACCATTGAATTCACCGAAACTGAAACAATACTTTTTCATATACTACGATTATTGGTCAATATATTTTTCCAAAAAATTCCATCACTTTCAAACCGTCCAGAGGTTATGAGAATATTTAGGCTACCGCAAGGTTAATATTTAAATTTGGTATATTTTTACGTTTTAAAGCATTCCATATTTTGACATCGAGATACTAAAAAAATAAAATAAAATAAAATCAGGAAATGCAAGAGGCCAAACATCACAAGAGACTACTGTTCTCCTAAAATTTACGATAGATGCCTTTACATCGCTCATAACGATAGTTCCATCAAAATACAAGATTGATTTAGTTGCTATTGCATTTTATGTTTACATATGTAAGTTTTAAAACTTTGGTTTGTTTATTTATAACATTATATCTAAACCAATCGATTTCAATGAAATTATAATGCAGCTATCATTCAAGATCCTAAATTTCAAAGCGAACTAGTGCCTCATGTGCTTGTCAACATAAAACTTTTATGTGAAAATATTTCTGCTCATCTTGAGGAAGAAGAACTCTATACATTTAGTCGTGTAGTTCACTCAACAATTTCTTCTACACTGTTACAAATTAACTCACTCACTAAAGGGTTTGTGCATATTTGATTTTATGATCACACTTTATATATATTGTTACATATGTTTATATATTTGATTCTACATTTTATCAAAACAAAGTCAAAATTCGTTAAAAGACGACGAAGTGTCCGTAGTTAAAAACAGTTTATTGACCGCAACAATAATTTTTACTTCTTGTCCAAAACAATGCACCGAAAATACCGCAATACAAGCCGAATTTATGGAAATATTAAAGAACGGATTCTATTCCGACATTGATATGGTAAAAACATTTATCATTGTAATTTGCAATATTATTCAATTTTATTTAAACAAGACTATTTTTATACGGAAAGTAGATTGCAATAACATCATTCCAATGTACACGTACTTTGATATTACTTTCTGCTAAAAAAGAAACTAATGTTGATACTACAAAATCGATTCAAATGAGCCATATTTTCATAAAAACTCTTATTCCGGAAGCAGCGGCTTTTTTGCAAAAAATCAAAGAGACTTGTGGAGTTGAATGTACATCTCAAGAAAATTCTTACAAATTAGATGTTGTTGAAGAATCAATAAAAACTTTACTGACCACAAATGCAGTAGCACAAGATTCACACAGTAAGAGAGAAGAATTTTTTTTTTTTATTGGAATTGTTATACTTTTATAGAGTTAATGGATTTTTACATATTCTCATATTTAGAAACTGCTCTAATGGCAGTCACACTACCTACATTGATTCAGTTGTTGGCTGATCCACCGCTAGAGAAATATATGTCTTCAGAAGAAAATAATTCACACACACTTCCACCACTGCACACATTGTCTGTTACTCATATTCTATCACTTGCAGGATCACAACCTCAAAATTTTAGAGATGCAGTAGCAGTACTATTACCCGGACCTAAGGCTAAATTGGAAGCAGCAATTCGATTTAATGTTTTGCAGCAGCAACAGCAACAACAAAGGTTGCAAGAGGAAAGAGACAGGAGATATAACGAAAGAATTGAATTGAACAAAGGACCTAGCATATCTTTGAAAAATGATTTTTCTGGATTTGCTTAATCCTTTTTTTTTAAAAAAAAACAAAATTATATATATATTATAATTTTTTAGTTTTGTTAATATATTTGGTTTTTACCTATTTGTAATGTAGAAACGATGTACTATACATTAAAGTGTGTACCAACAAAACTATAAATAATTCGTACACATAGATTTGTAAATAATTACTGGTGAAGAAAATAGAAAAAGATGATATTATTCGGACGCGTACAGAATTATATAATTTGATAAATGTATTATATCATTAACCTATGACGATAAACCATGAGATAATCCTATAGAACTATTACTATGTACATTTTTGATTCTAAGGCCTTTTCTGTCGTGTCCAACGCCAAGTCTAAGCATGTCTATGTAATACCCGAAGTTGACAAGTAGACACTTGAAACTTCTGTACGTACGTACCTGGAGTTGCACTTGATCGAAATTAGCCCTCAAGATTCGCAAATTAGTTGGTAATTTTAGGCAGATGTAACTTTAGGTTGCAACCTCGCAATCACAAAGGGTGACAATTTAGCATTTTATTGGCTGTAGGTATAATTATTAGTAAATTGTTACCCGTAAGTGACATGTCTGGAAAATAGTTTTCTGGGAAATGGGACGTAACCATTTTTAGGCCAAAAGTTATAGCCTTTAAAGTCTGTGTAATTGTGCCTGAAGTTAACACCTGCTTGGGTAAATAAATAGGGGCTTGCAGTAGAAAGGGCCTAAAT